CAACCACAAAATATTCTGTATTTTACTAGATTTAACAAAATGTCTGGTAAAGTCGCGCCCAATGTGCAACAAATACTATATGTCTGCAAATAATAATAATTGTTCCCCTTTTCATCCCTTATCACTGTACGTAATATATAAGAGAAGTGCTTAGCCCCTCTAATTTTTTTGGGCATATTGGGGGCGGGCGGGCGGTCATATGGACGTATTACTCACGCGCCCTTGCAACCGTCGTTCCCTACTTTTGCATTTGTTCACCATTCATTCATTCATTCATTCATTGCAAAGGTGTTCAAATAGTGTTCAAGCAGTCAAGCGGTGTGTTTATCAAACATATGCGCAAACATTACATCAATATTACAGTAAATCTAACACGTGTTGTCCGGTGGCAGTGGTGCCAGTGATAGTGAAAGTGGTAGTGACCGATGATATTGAATTGTATGGTAAGTACAGCACATATCATACTTTGCTTAACTGGTGACCAATAGTCACAGTGTGTGGTGAGCATGTGAGCATGGTGGTTTGAGTTGCAATGACTGGTGTCTTATTTGTATAATAGCTGTTTTGGAAGTGTTTTGGAAAGCACTCAATGATAATGTCTTTGACTGTGAGGAAGTCAACGCTGACAACTGGATGCTTATCACCACCAGAATCAGTGAAAGGCATGACGTGTTTGGATAAGAGTTTATTCAATAAAACAATTTGTGTGCCATTTGTCGAGATTGAAGAGCAACTCATGGAAAGTGCCGTCAAATGTCTTAAACCATATCTACTGAAACTCAAAGACTTTAATCCTGTGGTGAATGAGGAGAAGAAACGGATTGTTATATTAAACCCCGAATTGATAGCATCGGTGAGTGATCTGATTGGAGACGACACCGAACGCCGACATGTTTTGCGCGATTTGTGTCATATAAGAGACATTGGATGGAGAGATGTGGACATGAAGTACGAGAACTACTCGCATAAGCAAGTGTTGGACGCAGTGCTGCCTAAGGACTCGGACTCCGTCTCGGGTTTCAGTACAATCGGACACATACTGCACCTCAACCTCAGACCCCATACGTTCCCATACAAGCGATTGATAGGACAGGTATTACTCGACAAAATCAAGAGCTGTGAACTGGTCGTGAATAAAGTGAATTCAATCGCCAATGAGTTCCGCAACTTCGAGATGGAAGTGTTGGCCCAACGGAGCCCTTCCGTCACCACAACCGTCAAGATTAAGGAAAGCTTTTGTGAGTTTGAGTTTGACTTCGCGAGAGTCTATTGGAACCCACGGCTGGGCACAGAACACGACAGGATTCAACTCAAACTCAACAAAGGCGTCGACGTCTTGTACGACGTGTTTGCCGGCGTCGGACCCTTTGCCATACCGGCCGCCAAACGCCGCAAATGTCACGTCTTGGCTAACGATTTGAATCCCGAGTGCTATAAATGGCTGCAACACAACAGTCGACTCAATGGAGTGGACGATAGGCTGAGTGTCTACAACCTGGACGGCAGACAATTCATACAAACTGTCATTCGTGACCATCTCATCCATGCGATCAACACTTTTGATGGCATAGAGAGGACCCGTCAGTATCACATTGTCATGAATTTGCCGTCACTTGCCATTCAATTCTTGGACGCATTCAAAGGACTCTTGCATTCAATCGATACCTCCAGAGACTATCAAATCGATCCAATCATTCATTGCTATTGTTTTGTAAAAGACGAACCAAATAATGGCCCAAAAATTGTTAAACGTATGGCTGAAGAGGTGTTGGACCACGAATTGGACTCAATTCTAGAAATCGTTAACATTAGAAAAGTGGCCCCAAATAAGGATATGTTTAGAATTAGTTTTCAAATGCCTCGACAACTCCTGTACAAACAACCTTGCTCTAATCATAAAAAGCAAAAAGTTGAATAAAATTTATATTTAAAATTTAAATTACATTGACTTGTCTTACGATATGTTTTTCATATCGATAGTACAGTATTTGCCCATAATATACTGGTACTGTACTGTATGTCAGTCATTGCAACACTAAAACCGTATGAAACAAGGATTTACTCTTATGTGAAACTGTAATGGATGAGCCGTTCAATACTATATTACTTTATAGTCTACTATAAAGTTTATACAGTAGATACAGTATTTAAAGATTTTAGACAAAATTATTAAAACCAGTTGTGTTTATTACCGTTTTATATTCTATACTACGGTATGGTACAGTACTGAAATACAGATCAATTGAATAAATTCACTGTATACTGTACAGTCGGTAGTTGATATAATTGATTGTTATAATTTATCATTGGCTCACGTGTTAGTTACTGTGTAAACAATTAAAGTAAAGTGTAATCTCTTTTAGATATGAAATGATGGCTAAAAGACACACAAATAGGGAATCGACTCAAAAAGTTTGCGATTTGAGGCTTAAAAGGGCTAAGAAAATGAAAAGAAACATTGAAGTGAAAAAAGTACGAATATTTATTGTAATTTAGTATAATGTCATATAATTATGACAGTAATTACTAAATACAGTAACTTATTTCATTTATCTAATTGCATCCAGTATAAATAGAATTTGATTGATTCATATAAATTGTTATAATTGATTACTGTTAAGTTGTACCTAAAAACTCATCAACAAGTGGAGCAACTGGATCAAACTTTGAATTCTATGATGGGTACCGTTAGGGGCATACCTACCAAGGTATAATTGGTTAATTGTTGAATTGATCTATATTTGTACTGTTACATTGATTGTATTAATATAGGCATATGAGCCCAAAACTAATTGCAATACAAATGTGAAAACAATGAGTGAATCGAAAGCATCAAAAGTGAACCTGGACATCGATGAGACAATCCACAAGTTATCGCACTTATAGTCAACTTTACGATTATCATGTACTCTGATACAGTAGTATAGTATTATATACGGATACATTATATTCTACTGTATTTACGGGTCTATTAGAATCTAATAATTAGAACTTAATACAGTAATTATGATTATATAGGATTGTAATATTATTACGGTATTTTTTATAATTTATAACCATTGTAACTTTATTTGATTGTAAGAATGTAATATGAATATGAATTAAAGGCAATTTAATTATCAAAAACTAGTCTAGAATAACTATAAGAATAACTTATATTCTACCAACTATGTTACCGTATGATAATTTATATTTATTATAAATTTACTAAATTACTGTACTGTATAATAGTAAACAGTTACTGTAACAGTAAGTTAAAATAATAATTATTATTATTGATATTACCGTAGGTACTGATACGATTAATAGACTGATAATCATATTACCGGTAACTGTAATAATAGTACTGTTATTGGGTCCTATTTGATATTTGCGGTAAATACTGTACATGTATACAAGTATATGACAATAATTGTATTTGTAGTACAGATACAGTAATACAATGGAGAAAGTTATGTAAATTTATTAATTTAGATTTTTAATTAGATTTTTAATTTATAGTATAAGTTTTATACAGTAGTCTATCATGCAATGACGTTATATATGAGTGGTACCGGTAAATTTATAAAATTGACTGTACTGTACATGTAACCGTAAGATTTACCCGTAAATTACTGTATTAATACCTGTATAGTACAGTGTACAGTATATAGTATATATTTAGTATACTGAGATTATGACCATGATAAAAACTCATACACTTGACTAACAGTTAAAGTGAGTACAATTTTGGATGACAATCACCAAAATAAATAATACTTTACTTTCACGCATTATAAATTAATGATAGCAGCCCATCACCTTGGTCATATTGGTTATACAGTAGTGATCGTAGTTTGGCAATGATGTGCATGTCTTGCATTGTGTTGAGGCGTCAATTGATTGGTCGCACGTGTGTTGTGCCCTTCTGTTGGCGACACACATCACCACCACTACCACCACCACCACCACCAACAACAACAACAGACAATGTTGTGTCCACTGCTCACCACCGACAGCATCATCTGCAAGACAATCCCTTTTATAACAAATATAGACATAAAATTGTCACTTCATTGACAGCGAATGATGGAAGAGGTGATGGTGATGGTGGTGGTGAACACAGCACCAGTAGGTCACAGTCAAGCGAACACACCAAACAAGAGGTGATAAGTGTCTGCAATGCCATCAAATGTAACGAAAGCATTGATGTGAAACGAAATGTTGGCAAAAATCAAAGTCTTAATGATATCCTAGTCATGGATTTGGTGTCCGA